CAGTCAAAACTAATATTTCCATGTTAAAAATAACCAATCCTCCCTGTCATTGTGAAAATTAAAATACCTTTACTTCCTGTGGCTGAAGCAGATTAAAAACATGGCACCACCTGTTTGAAGCTGAGCCCGGCTTTTACGTCTGATGAATAAAAGCATTTTAATTTTGCCCCTTTGTGCTGAGCAGGTGTTTTTTTGGATATAGTAAACAGCAAAGTAAGGTCTTCCAAATGCATTAATATTAATAGGAAGTGCTCCTTTCCCCGCCACTGTTAATGCTGTGCAGGAGTTTGTGCAGGAGCAGACAATTTAGTTTTCTTTCAGAGCATTTTTTAAACTTTCAAACAGCTGAGATGTTGGTGACATTAAAGAACTATTTCACTTTTCTGTCTCTTCACAGACAATAAGCGAACATGTGGGCGCTCTGTCCATTGTTAGCATTGTTCTTTGCCTGAGCACGATGCTGCTCGTCTGCCTGCCCTGGCTGGCCACGGTGAGGCGCTGTCGAGGAGCGCTGGCCCTCTTCGTCTGGGGGATACTATACATCACTGCGATGGTCTTCGTCTTCACGGGCGGACAAGTGACAGCGTGGGAACAGGTGAGTCCCAATGGTCCTGAGCACAGATAAATGGGAGGGTTACATCAGGATGGGCTCCGGTGTAAAATCTGTGCCAAATAGACATACACATCTATCCGTGGTGGCAATTCCTTGGGAAATAAGGGAGTAGTTAAAAGTGAAAAGACGCCCAGGACAGCTGGGATAAGCTCTAAACTGCTGCATGTTTCTTTCTTCTTAGGTCGCGTTCTTCCTCTTCCTCTCTCTCAGCGTGTACACGGTGCTGCCTCTCTCGCTGACCTGGGCCCTCATGGTCGGGATAGGGACCAGTGTTTCGCACGTCATCATCATCAGCGTCTACGTTCCTGTCACCAGACCAGAGACACCAGATCTGGCTGTGCAGGTTCACACACATGTCATATTTGAATATATTTAAACTCGTTTCTAACGGCACGAGGGTCATGTTAGCCTTCCTCTTGTGACGTTAATTGTTTTTCCCTATTTCTTATTAATGAAAAGGGTTTGGTCGTGCTGAAATTAGAATTGGTGTGTGCTTTGGAAGTTCATATGTAAATTTTGGAGGGATGCTTCCTTTTGCGTGAGCCAGAAAAGAAAAAAACAAACCTCAAATTCAAATAGAGTGATACAGCGGTATCAACAGGGCGCAGTTACTTTGGAAAAATGTAAATCACCCGTTGTTATTATTAGTGAAGTCATAAACACATGCAGTTGTGGTCAGATGTTCATATTCACTCATCATGTGCGTGACTTTTAATGATTTCTTTTGGATTTTCAAGGGTCAGATATAGACACACCCCCCACTAATATTTGGGTTACTGTCTCTTGACATGTTGGGTCTCAAGAAAACGCTTTTGATATCCATCAACAAGCTTCTGGCATAATTCTGGCTAGATGTGTGACTACTCATCTTGGCAGAATCACTAGAATTCATTTAAATAAGTTGGTTTCCTGGCACAGACCCGGCTTTTAAGCATAGTGAGGATGGGGACTGGCAGCGGCTCCCGGGCCTGGCACATCCCCAAAGAAGGCATGCCCTAGAAAACAGTAATAACTGTGTGTTACAAAGGTCATGGATCTCTGCAGTAATATAAGTGGTAGGCCTGCTAGCGAAGATAAGTAGCCCCTGGCGTCAATAAGGTGGTCGAGGGGACTTTTGAAGGTCTTTCCAGATGTTTAATGTTAGCCTACTCTATCGGATCCAAAACCAGTTTTTGTGTGTGTTTGGGATCATTGTCCTGCTGCAACATCCAGCTGTGTCCAAATCTCAGTATCTAGGGTTACTTGTTGTCAAGTTGTTTGTAAGTGGCTTAGCGGCCCTTCTGTTTTGTTTGCTAGTCTTTTGCCTCATGTACATTGTGTTTAGTTTTCCTTCCTTTCCTGTCCTGGTTTAGGTTCATCTGGTTCTTAATTGCCCTGCTGTTTGGTTTTTCCCGATAACTCTCGTGTCTATTTAAAGCC